AGAATACACTTTTGTTCAGTCTGTCCTGTGATGTTTTCGGCAGGCAAATGACCCGTCTTACAGGCGAACAATGGTGGGATATGTTTTGGCGAAATGAGCGGTATCCAGGCTGGAAGGCTGGATGCGATTGGTAGAAAATAGCTTACTCGGAGCATGAGTGCTACTATGTGAAAAACGTGCTTTGATAGACAGGTAGTATGCAGATGTCCACTTGTGTGAGTCAACAACGCTTTGGTCGTCCAACCAGTCTTGAGGGCACATTCATGCCTAACGGTTGTGTCAAAAATGCTTAACTCACATGCTTCCATTTACGAGAATTTCTAGATTGTGCTGGATTATACTGATTCATGATGTGAACGCTTAACACCAGTAATAGGGAGGAGTTTAGCTCATTCTTTCGTGTATTTCTGTGTCGGTATAGGTCCTATCTCGTACCTTGGAATTGAAATTTTATTGTCCAAGCATAGCTGATGCTACGTTTTTATCTGCAGGTTGGCATTGTCCACGCACTTTTAACCGTTTTGGCTTTGCATAGTTGGAGAATACGTGGTCTCTCACCTACTTTCCCAACATCATGGAACGCTTGGGCCGGCTGGATTGGGCTGAGCGACAAATGGAGCTGGCTCAGGGCTTCCTTACGGGTAACATCTTTGATTGGGGTGCATCTGAAGCAGTTCGCTTCTTCACACAATCTCAGGACTCAGTCGATGGCATGGCTTCCTTTGAGCAGGCTCTCGCTAAGCTTCAGGTTTGATGCTTCACCTCATTTTGATATGATAGTTGTGCACCGTCACTCCTTTCTATGCATACTGGCGATTGAGGGTCTCTGCCTCCTTGATCTCTTTAGTACCTTATTTCATTTATTTGCATTGCTGTTTGTCCTTTTCCATGTAGAATAAATTTAAGTGGTAAATTCGATATCTAGGTCTCTCCTTACGGCTTATTTGGAGAATTGTGATTCTTTTTTTGGGCTAATCTAGGCGACACTGTTTATACTTCATTACTCTCATTGATCATTGATCCCCTCTTAAACTAAATCGCATTCTGCTTGAAATTACTAATTATGTTGCACAAATTAAAGGTGATAGGTTTCAATTCCTCTGCTAAACCCCAAGACGGATGGTGATGACTCAAAATGGTCGTTTTCTGCTTTTTAACTGTTCAAAATCTCACATCTAATTCACTGTTCCCAATAGCCGTTTCCACATGATCCTGACAGTTGGGATAAGCACGTCTGGCTCTTATAGTAGTGGCAATACTGATTATATGTTCCTCATTTTTAGGGCTGCTTCTATTAGAGTATTCTTTGATACAGCCCAGCAGATATCTTGAACAATTTGTGTTGCCTTTACGATTTTCTTTGACCTCCAATTGAACACTTGCTTTCTCGATTGCAACAAGACTGCTGTTCCACAAAAGTTTAAAATTGTTTGCATTTCATAAAGTAAGGTATGAACATATTCATTTTCGGGTCTAAAAACATTAAGCACTGATGAGCTCTTGTCAGTTCAGGCGCAGTTGTTGTTGGTCCTACCAAAATCGTCCATTGAGTTCTATTTAGTAATCTAGAAATCAGATATGATTTGGACCATTTTCAGACATCCACTCTGCATTATGACGCCTACTTAAGAAGCGGCAACCTGATGATTTCAACCAGTGTCCGAGTGCTTATTGCTTTATTCAGTTTCGAGAAAGCAAATTAATTCAGTTTTCCTTCCCTGCGAAAGGAATTAAGAATTCAGTAGAACACTTGTTGAGGCGGTGATTTTTAACCTCAAACCCAAACTCATTTTGATTTATTTGAGAATCTGATCATCCAGCACGCTGCCTGTTGGTACTGAGCTGCTTCGCATGAGGTGAATGTGACTGTCATTCATTATACTCTGAATAGTGTGCGTCAAAGACCCTATTTCATTCCTGCTAAACTGCGTTTTCATTGCTACAACAAAAAGTCGTCTCCGTAAGGGAGAGAAAATGATTCATTCTTTCTACTATAAGGGATGAAGATAAGCCGATGCTTCGTAGAATTTGTATTTTGCATAGCCATTTGCTCGATCTTGACTCTTTCTTCTTGCTTTTTAACAATGTCGCACCCACGTCCAAACATTTGGTTTTGTGGGCTGGAGACTAGCGCCAATCGAGAGCATGCTTTTAAGTGGCACTTTTTGGAGCTTGAGATTGAACACTTTTAAGTCCCTTTTTCTCTTAACTTTGATAGTTCGAGTTCTTGAACTGGTATTCACTTGAAAGTAAAATGGAAACGCACCTATTTTTCCCAATTAAAGTGAATCATGAGACGCATTGGTGATAGTTCCACTACCAGCGCTTGCCGCTCCTATGCCCTCTTCTCCTTTGAAGCCACGACCGTGGTTGGTAGATGACTTCTCACGATGGCTTGAACGAATCAGCAATCCTGCAGATCGGCCCAGATGTGTGCTCATCTTTTGCGATAACAGTGGAGCTGACTTGATCCTCGGTGTTCTGCCTTTTGTGGTGGAGTGCTTGGACTGGGGTAGCAAGGTCATATTGACTGCGAACTCGGGTGAGTTGTCGAATCCACTTGCTTTCTGGCGTTCATTATCAGGTTAAATGCTGGAGGGGAGGGGTCTGTTAATTGTTATTATCTTGCAACTAAATGTGGCCGAGAATTTTTGGGACCGAGGAACTCAATACTTCTTCTCTGTATTCCTTATGACCTTTTCTCGTAAATATCATTGTGCGAAATCATGACCTTTATACGGCTAAATGTTTAATGCAACTACTCATTACGTTTGCTCAAAGTTACATTCTTAGCCATAACTGCAAAATTCCATTCCTCTTTGCCACCTTGGTTCACAAGATACTTTATCCAATCATTCACGTAGGGTGTCGCCCTAGTTTATCAAAACTTATGCTTATTGTCAGCTGTTTCTGCTGCGAGTCGTCCCCAAAAGTAGCAAAGAAGGTCAAGAGTAGTGGTGAGACTTGCGGAGATCGTTAGCTTTTCATGTACTTGGATATAGGCTACACCTCTTAATGATACAATTATGGTTGCGCCGCATTTAGGCCCTCTAAGACCCCAGTAATTCTTTGAAAGTAAAGCAACATCTTAAAAAATTGCTTGTTTGGACTCCTTACCTCTAGTTCCTGCCATCAATGACGTGACCTATCGTGAACTTCTCTTCCTCCTCAACGAGGTGGCTGGTCTTGAAAATCGGCTTAAGCAGGCTCTGGAAAGTGGCAGACTGATGTGTGTGGACAACGGACAGAGTTCGCCGTGCCTAGATCTGCGACAGACTTCACATCGTCTTGTTCAACTGGTGAAGCAGGAGAAGGTTAGACTTTTCCACCCTATCAGATACCTTGTTGCTCACAGGAGGAAATCTGCTGTCTAGTTGAACATAGAGGCGCCATTAATATGGGGTATTTGCGTCAAGTACTGTCAGTCAGTTTGGAATCAATCGTTTTTTCTTTCTCCTACGTTTCCATCGAACTCAACTACCAGATGAGCTTGTCCTTAATGCTCTTGATGTGAAACTTAGCCAATTAAGTTTGCGGGTATCAATTAATCATGAGTTTGGCGTTTTATCTTACGATCTTAGCCATGTTTCCATTTTTCCTGCCCCACCTTCATTTCTCATCAATTTGTAAGTTTTTTTTTTGAATGATTATGTGATGGTGTCAGCAGGAAGAACGCTTGAGGAGAGGCGGGAAATGTATGGTACTAGCTTCATTTATAAGTCAGTTTTGTAGCACGGGGATCTGCATTGTCTTCTAAGAGCACTACTTTATTTCGATTGGTTTACAGAATAGGCTCTTTGTGATGCAATCTTTGTTCATGGTTACTGTTGTATCGAGTGGAGACGGAGAGATGGCTGTAGTAAAGGTGTTTGGTGCAAGGGTT